AATTAGGATGTTAATATAAAGTAGAATTAAATTTTTAACAATATTTAATGTGGGTGTATTTATATTACAAGGTTTGATCAGTATTCTGTGATTTTATTTTGTTGTTTTTGCGGAGGAAATCGGGGAAACCCCCCAGTGAGAATCTATTTTTATAGTCTGCGCGTGCGCAGTGCGAGTTTGGCTGAGTTGCGCATGCGTATTTGCTACCAAAATAATGGCGGTTCGAATATTTCGAAGCGCGAAAATATCAAACTTTGGAGGGATTTTTCTCCCAATTGTGCACCTGTTTCACTTGGGGAGCAACGGATTCTGCTAAAGTAAGTTTTTATCTATTTATTCATGTGAAAATTACGTAGTTCCACGAGGGGTGCAACGGAATTGCATCTTTTGGATGCTCATCCCACGGCCTAACATTGTATTTCATATAGTATATAGGGTTAGATGGAAAACACGGAGTCGGAGTTTCGGAGTCGGAGCCCCGGAGTCTGACGTCATAAAAATATGGAAAACACGGAGTCATATGGAAAACACGGAGTCTGACGTCATAAAAATATGGAAAACACGGAGTCATATGGAAAACACGGAGTCTGACCAAGGGAGCACGCCAGAAATATTTGTGTAAATTTATACTAACCTTTTAATGACATGTAAATGTTTTCAATTTTCATCGGCCGCCATTTTGAATATTGAAAGCGGTATTAGCTTATCGCAGGCGCAATAATTTATGTTCATCTTTGACATTAATTTATGTCACACGATGATACTCCGAAGGGCGACCGAGAAAGATCCGAAATTTAAAATAAGGCGGAGAAATAATAAAAAATAAAGAGGGGAGTGAAACGGCCGAACTATTATCCACTGATGCTGGTTGACTGTTACGGAACATTTGATGTTGCTAGGAACAAACCGGAAACAAAATGAGACCTACTATTACGGGAACCACTGAGTATTTTAATATAATATACTGTAGAACAACAAATATAATATAATATACTGTAGAAAATAATTTTTTTTATTATTTTCGGATTTACCGTTGATTTATATTTGATCTACTATAATTAGTTCAAGGGAGTCACATTAGAATATATTAAGATTGGGGACAATGGCGAGAGTTTGTATATCAGATAAACATCGGCTGCTCGTGTTTTAACGTGCTTAAAAGACGACCCATCATATGAGGTCATTGGCGAAGTAATTTTAAAATAAACATTGTCTAAGCCGAGAAAATCGAAGCTGAAGTTTATGTAAATGAGGACAATTTACAAATCTATTATCCGACGATTTACATACATTGATTAAACATTCATTTCTTTTGAATTTCCTTCATGAATTATTAATACTGTATTTTGTGTCCAGCATTCGCAAATGTTTTTGTTTCTCTGCTGTCGAAAATTCACTGCTTGCGAGCAACGATGCAAATCAATACAAGTTTTGATATATTTCAGATTCGACAGTTCTTGGTCAACGAGCATGGCCAGATAACGAAATTGGATATACGCATTGTCATTGGCCAATACCCCATCACGTGTTCGGCCGTTTCACTCCCCTCTTTATTTTTTATTATTTCTCCGCCTTATTTTAAATTTCGGATCTTTCTCGGCCGCCCTTCGGAGTATCATCGTGTAACATAAATTACTGTCAAAGATGAACATAAATTATTGCGCCTGCGATAAGCTAATACCGCTTTCAACATTCAAAATGGCGGCCAATGAAAATTGAAAACATTTACATGTCATTAAAAGGTTAGTATAAATTTACACAAATATTTCTGGCGTGCTCCCTTGGTCTGACGTCAGAGAAAAATATGGAAAACACGGAGTCATATGGAAAACACGGAGTCCACCATAAAATATGGAAAACACGGAGTCTGACGTCAGAGAAAAATATGGAAAACACGGAGTCTGACGTATTGTCAGCGTGAAATATGGAAAATAGTAATTAAATAATATATCATTTATGCGAAATATATTAACGAATTGGAAATTTTCTGCACTAATTCTGGTATTTCTCTAAAATGTCGTGAAAATATGGATTATTTATTCTTAAATACAATCAAGCAAATAATATTGTTTCTCTTGTCGTGTGACTTGTTCAGTTGTACAATATTTGAAATGATTTTAATGCGGATTTTGTTCACCGCGCATGGTATGTTGATAAAAATATAGTTTATATATATTTCATAGTCGATTAATCAGCATGTAATATTTATAACACACAATATCTTGACACAAAACAGATACGCTGCCTGGAAACAGCGTTGCTATTTAGGCCACATAAGTAAATATAGAAATTTTGTATTTCATAAAGTATTACTGACAATGCTTTTGAAAGGGATAATTTTATTAAGTGAAACCCACCTGTTGTGGACTTAAAATAAAATTGTGAACTGATGATGCAGAACCACTGGGATAGGGATATTGCTAGGAATACTGCTAGGGATTGTGGCGCACTAAATTTACTATTATGGATTGTTTCAATAGTTTCATTATAAACAGTACTGGAATGCTCTGAATGGTTGTACAATAAGCAAAATTTGCCTTAGTAAAGTAAGCCAGTATCTAGGCTGGCTTGCATTACATATAAACATCCCCTATAATCCTACTATAGTTGGAAAAAATTAAGAAGTAAATTTCCCTTCAATATATGCAATTTGTAGTTATAGTTGTATATATATATATAGGCACAAAAATGGCTGAAATAGTTTAAAATTCAATAAAATGTCATTGGGTCATTCCAGAAAACATCCATACCACCCCCACGGAGGAAATTGGAAGTTAACCCCCTTACCCCCTTCGGATGTCCTAATACATTTACTATTATCAGAAACAATTTTGTCTCCCCTCCCTATCCGGACAGCAGAAATTTCCTCCGTGGGGGGAGTGTGGATCTTTTCTGGAACGACCCATTGTGTTGACATGAAAATATTCTACCAACTGTTTTTGTAGCCATAGGTGTTAATTTAAACCATGCAATTAATGCTCAATATATCTTACATAGATTCATAGTGACATACAAGTCTATGCCACTACACCCGTACTGCAAATCTGCATTCATAGTTCATACGATTGAGCATCTCATGGTTTAAATTAACACCTATGGCTACAAAAACAGAATATTTACATGTCAACACAATGACATTGTATTGAATTTTAAACTATTTCAGCCATTAATTTTTGTGCCTATATACACTGTAAATTAAAAAGGGCTGAAACGACCCCAAAAATGGGGCCAAAACGGTGACCGCAAAATAGATCTTTTTTGGGGGTCAAAATGGCACCTATAACAATGCGGCCCCTAAGGGGTGATTTGGCCTTCAAGTGTAAGGGCTGTTTCAGCTTTTAGTAGGAGCTCTTATGGCAAAAGCAGGGGCTATTTCAACTTTCAATAGGGGCCAATTCAGAAAATTAGGGGGCTATTTTGGCATTTCGAGGAGTTAATTTGGCTCCCATTTGTGGTCATTATGAACCCCAAAAAGCGTTGGGTCAATTTGGTCCAATTTCAGAGCCATTATAGATCCAAAAGAAAAGCCAATTTAACCCCTACTTTGTTAAACGGAGCTGTTCTGGCCCTTTCAGAGGAGAGCTGTCTCAGCCCCAATGAAGAGGTGCTTTAGAACCGATTGAGCTGATAGAGCTTTTTGGTGGTGCCGTTTTATATAGCATTTAAAGTCATGTGTATGATTTGGTTGCACTGTAACAGCACTGTTGCATGTAGACGTATTCTACATGTATATAATGAATCAGGCAAAAATAATGGGGTTTATTTGGTCTTATTACAATTTCTCCAACAGACCAAGATTGGAATTAATTATTGTAATATAAGTTGAGATAAATAATGTTCCAATTTCTGTATTATAAACACAATACTATAACTAAAATTACAATATACATGCACAGTAGTCAGTATTATGTATCTCACCGAAATGTGGGAACCATCAAAAGATTCGTACATATATGCCATATGGCTCCGAAAGTTTACAATTCTAATTTTAAAGAGCAATCAACTTGTGATAGCAATAGCAGGCGCGGTTGTTAACGTGAACGCAATACGAATAATTTCTAATACATTACCACAGTTCGGTGAGATGTGAGACAATACACACATTCCATCAATAACATTAACTTGGGTAATTAGCATATGTCAACATAACTCTCAAAAAGTGTAAAATTACTGTAGTACTAATATTCATGAGTCATGACAAGTCATTGAAGAGGGCTGTGACCCTCATTAGTGAGCTTAAGCACGTGACGTTTTTGACAACACTGACGGCATGAGCAACGTCAGAAGACTGGGTCAAGGACTGTGATTGGTGAAAAACGTCAACTTTACCTCCGGTCGACGTCCGTGTTGTCAAAAACGTCACTTGCTTAAACTCACTATTGGCAGTTGTATGCCATTTTCTGTGTTGGCCATGCACTACAATAGTCTGCAAGGCAGACAAGATGCTCTTCGTGTGGCAGTACTCAATATTGAAGATGTAAAAACTTGCCAATAAGGCGATAATTGCATCAAAACAACTGTTGCTTGTTATGGAACTTTCATCCTTTCCCTCGATAACGTATGATTGACAGTTTCTAGTCGTATTCTAGTTCGCTGCCAGCGGCCACAATATGGGTTGTGATAAGTTTGAAATTGTATCATTTGCATCTTTGGACTCCTACAAAAAAATACAATTAGAATGTATGCAATAATCCGCAATTACAGAGGGTTATAGGACATATAAGATATAAGGTCTCACCAAGAAACCCAATAATAAAGCTCTTACATGTACATCAGACACAAAATACCTGAAAATGTATATCACACCCGACCCCTATAACCCTTCCAAAAGCATTAAGTATAACATACCAATATACAGTAATATTTTGAAATATCAAAATATATGCTGCCTCGCAACAAACTCTCCTAAAAATAAGCTCACTATAAGCACACAAATATTATTCAAATTTACAGTATACTGTATCATAAGAAAAATAAATACAAAATTGGAAACATGTAGAATGCGGGGTGATCTTATTGAAGCATACAAGATTATTAACGGACATGTTAACTATGGCCATCAAATGTTTAACCATAATTTGCATTATAGTACTCGTAATTTATGCAATGTATCATCCTGTAGGACCAGATTTGCGTTAGATTGTTTTAGCGTAAGAGTAATTAAGTATTGGAACAATTTACCAAACTCTGTTAAGTATGCACCTAGTGTAAACGCCTTTAAGGCAGGACTTGATGATCTAAAAAGTTATAACCCGGATTCTCGTCACGGATATTGGTATTTATCGCAAGAAATCTTTAACAGAATTCCGGATAAGAATGACCATGTTGCTTATCTTAAATTGCATCCAGAGGTTGCTATGCAAAGACATATTTCTTGTTTCTAATTTTTAATAATTGTAATATATATTACTGTAAGATTTATATTTCTGTAATTTTCTTTGATGCATGAGTTGCCCAGAGAGGCATAATTAAATCTTATCTTATCTTATCTTATGAATTTCCATAGCCTGGTACAAGTGATTCAGGGAGACTGCATAAAAACATAATACATGATATACATATAACTATACAATCTTATTTAACCCATTAAGCACCAGGGCTCTCCCCTTTACGAGTAGAATAGGCGTTCGACAGAGTAGAGTAATAAAGTTCAAAATAATTTTGTTTGAATTACTTCACCTATCTATTTGTTTAAAATAATGTATGGTAGATTCTGTTGTATGAACACTTGCAAAATTACTCAAAAAAATTTAAAATATTGTGACATTATGTTGCCTTGACAACACTTGACACAACGCGAGCCTGTGTTCAGTGCTGGCCAATTGCTAGTAGTTCATGTTAAATCAATGTTTGGAAAATATAGGCTAGGGGTTGCTGCATGCATTTATTTCTAGTTAAATATTAATTGGACATACTCATGTCACTAGTGGTATTCATTATATCTTGGTCAGACAAAACAAATTCAATATTTAAGAAGTTTGGCAACCCACAGGTTAAAATAGACATCTTGTCAATTATGTCACAAACGATTAATAAATTTTTGCTGCAGCAAGCAGATTCACCAGAAACATGTAACCTCATGAGTTCACACACCCCAAAACAATACTTTCCTAAAATGACAGCTTTCCTTCATCATTTAATTTTATAACTGGACTTAGCTGATCTGTTCTTATAGTTTTTATATTTTTAGACTTTTCGTTATTCAAGTTTGAAACGAGACCAAGACTGGTGGCGTTTAATTTTGACAATTTAAGAGAATGTAGTTCTGCATTACTGTTTTTCTCTGTATCTCATCCTTCATTTAATAAGCCTACCATTTTTAAATTTCAAATGTACAACAGATACTTTGGGCTATTTATTGCCTCTTTCTTTCCTCTTCTACATATTAATAGTTTTTCTTTGGAAAATATCAGTAATCATATTTCTAATCTGTACAGTTCTGTTCCTACACAACATCTTCGCACCCACACATCGTGTTTAGGACTGAAGTTCCAGATCATGGAAATGCTCTGCCAACAGCCCTGCGGGTTCCCAAAGAGTGTATAGCCCATGTATATCATAGTACAAACCATAGAAATAAAATTAAAACAATATATTTCCATTTCAAATGCTTTTTCATTAATGTACAATAACTAGGGAATTTTATGTAAAGTGCAATTCTACATTCTCTTCGATTGACTTGAATGAATATGTTTTTGGCTAGCATTTATTTGATGTAGCTACAACAAATCCACTAAATTTCAATGGACATAGTCACATGGCATCTCCCTATGTGAAATAAGCCATAAGGCATTATATTTGGTATTTTAATATCTTAATTATTACAGAAATGATTGCACAAGTCATGAGTTTTGACAAATGTTGATCTATATTTTCAATATTAACCCCATTAAGCACCAGCGTTCTCCTCTCGAGACAGAGTAAAATAAATAAAGTAGGCCGCAATGCGACTCAATGGGTTAACTATAAACATGGCAAATAGGCCAGTTAACCCATTAAGTACCGGTGCTCTCCCCTTAATGAGTGAAATTGTCTGGCGTTAGAAAGAGTAAAATAATAAATTAGGGCGCAATGCGACTCAATGGGTTAACTAGACACATGGGCAGATAGGCCAGTTAACACATTAAGCGCCAGCGCTCTGCCCTTAATGAGTAAAATTGTCCTGGGATAGGCAGAGTAAAATAATAAATTAGGCCGCATTAGGGCACAATGCGACTCAATGGGTTAACTGTAAACATGGGCAGATAGGCTAGTTAACACATTAACCGCCAGTGCTCTCCCCTTGATGAGTAAAATTGCCTAGCGTTAGATAACCAGAGTAAAATAATAAATACTTAGTGCGCATCAGGACGCAATGCGACTCATTGGGTTATTAACATCAACAATGTTTCAAATGTCAAATCTGCCATGCTCAATATAATCATAGATTCGACTATTAATTTGACATGTAAGTCAGATGTCCTGTATACAACATCAATATACAGTATATATACTATTAAATCAATCAGCCACAAAATTGTCAATCGTGTATTATTCTCGGCCTAAAAGCTAAACCTATTAATCCTAGTTGGTGTTTAGTTTGGCTTTTGCTGCTACTGAAACGACTTTTATATAATTATGTGATTACAGCTTGGAATTACAGTGGGTTCTGCATAAGATTTTATCTGGATTCGATGTTTCACTATTTAGTATCGAGTAAAATCAACAAATAATTATGGATCAAACGAGGATGAGAGTATTTTAATTAAGTTGAAACATAGTTGGAACACTCATCAAAGCTTTAATAATATTTTGTTCGTGTGGAACTTGAAATGTCCTTTGTGTATTTATAAGCAATTCATGCATGACTTTCATCCTCATTTGACCGAGGCTATAATCTAAAATACCAGTTTAAAAACTTACATTATCAAATGAACCAGTACCAGTATGCCTGATTCAGGAGATGATTCTTGATTGGGAAAGGTTAAACTAGACTGGGCTACTAGCAAGTGATATGTCGCAGGATTTGAGCTAGTAGTGAACTGGATATTTCAATGTTGTTTGCACTTTTTTCATTGTCGCTGTCACTTTCAACTACAACCTACATATACAAAAAATAAATAATCTTACATTAAAACGTGTTTCGTATCGTAAACGTGAAGCTATAAGAACATATTTTGAATAATTGATGTCCGCTTTCGTGATTTGGCCATCAGCAAACAACAGTCTTCGACACGAAGGTGAAGAAAGTAAATAACATTTGCCAGAATTAGGCTAGTACAGCACGAGACGTTTCTTGAACGTATTTTCCTAATAAATTGTTTATTTGTCCAGAATATACTGCAACAAACGAGGTTTTACGCTTGTATTTTATCCGTATCCCTCGTCGAAGCAAATCCCAACGGCCAACGTTCGATAATGGCGCCAAAAGTTAGTACGCATGCTCGAGAATGATCGCAAACCCGATTGCTTACGGGCGCGTGCATTCTCGTTCCCAGTTCCCGCGATCATTAATATTACACCTAGGCCTTCAATTCTCGTGATTAATTTTTACAAATACCGTATTTATATTTACGATAATATTACTAAAAATCTGGAAAACAAATTTCAATACCCTACAAAATGAAACATCAAATCTCACCTTGTATAATCCAAAAAACGTCCTCTTCTTTTTCTTTGCGACTGCGAGCATGTGCATTCTTTAAGTTTTATGCGGAAGTTAATTTGAAACGATGTACGACGGACGATCGACACAATTAAGAGTCGATTTGACAGAAGGGTCGATTTGACAGAATTAAGACTGTCGTTTTGACGGAAGGGTCGATTTGACACAATATTAATAGTCGATTTGACACAATTAAGAGTCGATTTGACAGAAGAGTCGAATTGACACATTTACGAGTCGATTTGACAGAAGGGTTGATTTGACACATTTAAGAGTCGATTTGACAAAAGGGTCAATTTGACACAATTAAGAGTCGATTTGACAGAAGGGTCGATTTGACACATTTAAGAGTCGATTTGACAGAAGGGTTGATTTGACACAATTAAGAGTCGATTTGACAGAAGGGTCGTTTCGACAAAAGGGTCGATTTCATTCCAGGGTCGATTTGACTTATGCGAGAGTCGTTCCGCGATGGAGAGCCGAAACGAAGCTCATAGGGGCCAAAGTGTTGATCAAAAGCGGCCCCTTTATGTGGGGCCAAAACAAACCCGGACGTGAGAGTCGTTTTGGTCTGTGGGGCCATATTGGCAATTGATGGGGCTAAATTGGAAAATGATGGGTCCGTTACGGCAAAGGGTAGGGCCAATTTGGCTTTCCTCCATACCTAAAATGGCTCCGTCGGTGCAGATCCAGCTCTCCAATGCCAAAATGGCTTTCACATAGGGCCAAAACAGCTTTGGCCCCAAAAGGGCTGAAACGGAATTTGGGGTCGATTTGGCCCTTTTTAATTTACAGTGTAGGCAAGCGCATCACGGATGGCACGCGGAAAACATTAGGCGCTTCCAGTCCCTGTCTTCTGGGTTGTCTATGTTGGCACCAATGGCTTTCACGCATGCTTAATTCATGCATTTACCTAATTTGCGTATTGTTATTGTAAAAAAGTAAAATAACTATATGCAAATTAGGTAAATGGATTATTTAAGCATGCATGAAAGGCGTTGGTGCCAAAAATCAAAGTTTCAGCAGTTATTTGAAAGACTTAAAATTAGAAACATTTTTTGAACATTTGGACCATTAATATAACACATAACAAATTTGTCGCCCATGAACTCAGAATGCGTTTTCACCTTTTAAAATTTCCCGCGCAAGCTATATTTAATGCTGCTAAAGAGACACTCTAACTGCTCTAGAAAATTTATCTTTACGAAATTTTTTTGTTTATTCTACATTATAACTACCCAAACAGTCTGCAGTATATTTATCACAAATTTCAAGCTATTAACGGAATTGTGAAATTGAAAGCCGTTTTGAAATTATCTACTTTTCCCTGATACACCCTGACAACTCATTGCATTTATCTCAGAATTTCTTTGTAACCCCAGATAAATCGGACCATGGCCAGTCCTATAAGTTTACTGCATTCTGCGTTCTTCAATTAACGTCATCGTGGTTGGAGTGAATCACATTGTGGTCAGAGTCAATCAGTATTGCACTCTCTTTTAAAGTAGTCTTATCATTTACAGCCTCCGACATTGCAGGAAAATTGTGGGAAAGTCGTGAAATCTTGTCCATTAAGTCCAGCGTGACTTCTGGATCATCAACATCTTGGAGGAGGTTCACCTTAGGCATAAAGTACATTGGAAGACTTTGTATTCTCAATGCTTCTGCTAACTCTTCAAGTAAGACAACGAGATGGTGAACTACAGTTTCTTCCGTCCAAGATTCCTGTGAGGTTTTCTCAAAATGCCAAAACGCGATAGTCTTCAAGTGATAACTTGATATAATCCCCTTGGCAGATGGACTCCAGATCCTTTGATGGTGCTTAATTACTGCTTTGAAAGCTCGCATTACCTTGTGCTGTAGCGGTTCGAGAGTTTTCACCAAAATTGTTTCAGCACATGAGAAAGATAAACGAAAATCTCCATCATGTGAACTCTTTGGAACAATGTGGAATCCAGCAAGTGTGATTGTCTCCACGGAATGTTTATCTGGCCAAACTCGTTCTCGTGTAATCCATTCCCTCGCACAGTATGGCCATCCCTCGCACGATATAGACAACACAATGTCACTGGAAGGAATTAATTTGTCTAACATGGCATGCAGAATTTCATCCGAAACCGCGTTGTCTAATAATACACGCCAAGGTTGTCTTAATATTTCCTCTTTAAATTTTCTGTATCTTTCCACTGAAGGCACGACAGGTTCTGGTTTACGAATGGTCACGGCTGCACCTTCATCAACTTCTTCCAGTCCTTCTTTGCCAAAAGTCCGGAAAAGTCCGCCTGTTTTTTTGTAGTTTTTCTCTAGTTCTTCCTTCAACTTTCTTGATGATAATCTAAGTTTTCCTGTATGCTTATCTCCTTCGTCTAAAAACTCACTCCACAAGTTTTTATTTTCTTTTCTCGTGATAAATGCGTAAACAAAAGGCGTATCTTCTCTTAGCAACAAGCTGCCGTCTTCTTGATCTTCCTGTGAAAACATGATATTCTTTAACACGCACATGAAGTCCATATCTGGTGGCTCTGAGGAAAAGAGATAAAGCCCTTCGCTCAAGCTTCCCGTCAGTATTGCTTCACGCAGTTGAAATGGTGGCTGAGCATGGAAATAACTGTGAAAATCTGTTTTGAAGATATGACGTTTGCAAATGTCTTCACATACGTATTCAATTGAATTATGTATCCTAGAAGATTCATAGGGGATGTTGATCATGTTGAAAAAACGGCGAAAGTGTTTCTCGAAATACTTCACCAATAAATCAGGTGCTCTGTGGACACCTATCGCTGCTGGTTCCCACATTTCAAGTACGGTATTCTTTAAGGTTGAGTAGTTAGCATTTGAAGCTTGCATCATTTCTCAAACAATACAAACAAAATCAGTCAAGCTAGCAAAGTGAATTTGAACGTTTCAATTAAATGTTTGCAACAAACAGAGGGCCTATTTCAGCATGCAATATATATTGACTGGAAAAATGCAAATGTTAATTGAATGTGAAATAAGTCAGTACTGAAAAACGGATATTTTCAGTTTTGATTTCGTATTACATGTGCTATAGCCACAAGTATAGTGGAAATAAATGACCGACAATAACTAAATTTAATAAAAACCTAAACAGACCTAGCTTTAAATACATATCATAGTATCAATTAAAAATAAAGTTATCAAGAATGAAGGAAAGTTATCAAGTCCGTAATAATCCGCACATGTTAATTTTATGCACAATTAAATAGTAATTAATTTAATATTTATAAATACAAAGCGGAGCATTGAAGTTCAATACATGCACGTATGTATAAATTCGAGCAACTTTACAACAATTTCACATTGCACCATTATATTAATTTGATTAAATATTAATTAATTGCACAACTCAAACTTCATCTCACAAATATTCCAATTTAAAATATATATTGGCACAAATCCAAAGCAAAGAAAACAAATTGTAAATATGATACAGACACTCATTAATAATTAATAGGCTTATTGGCATGGCAAATCATGGAAACCATAATATGTCGCGTAAAGATGCCCTATACCTGATAGAACCTAATTAGTATTTTTTTATATAAAGAATACCATTGTGACGGCATCTACAGTATCAAGCTCGTGTTTGAAGCTATATACCCTTTTGATGTCAACGTTAATTGGCATGGGAGCAAAGTTCTCTTGAATTGTGAGCCAATCACCTCTCGTGATTTACAAATGAGTGTGAGGATCCAAGACCAAAAAGGATGTGTGACGTAATTGTCAAAAGGGTGCATTCAACACACTTGTAATCGTGTTTTATCATATCTAAAATGCTCGTGCTGCATACTCGCATTTTATATTTGAATATGATAAAACACGATGTTTTAAATTAAATAGTACTAAGATATTTGAAATTATGCATTCGTTTAGGTGTAAATAATAAATGAAGCGTTGAACAAATTTCAAGGAGTTCCAGGTCATTACTACATAAAGATAGGTGACAACTTTGCGATGAATGCAAGGCAAAGTTTCATGTTTTGATTTGATCGAAATAGAACAACTGTTACAGTACGTTGGAATGCTTTGATGTACGTACAAGTAGATGTTACGCCTAATTGACGGCCAACGTACTTTCTTATCATAAATGTCCGACTCGAATTGAATACGCCAATTACCTGCTCCACCCAAGAATTTCAAGATTATAACTACTGTACATAAAAAATATAAACCGATATAACTGTATCATTTCAAAGAAAAGCCTTTGGTAGTTGCTAACTTCCAGAAGAATGGCTTTCTTTCACCAGAAACAATAATTTTCTACTTTTAACTGCTATAGCTGCATGCTGAAATGATCTACATGATATATTTAATTATTTATTTGTTTATTTAGCTTTGCCAAATAGGGTAGGGTCACCGCAACAGCATATGTCAATTATTGTGGGCCCTTTACCTAACCCACCCTGTCCACTTTCCCTGTGGGAGGAAACCGGAGTACCCAGAGAAAACCCACGATTTTCAAGGATAAATAGCATGCTGTCAACAAATCACTACCAGTCAGAGTGAAAGAAGGCATTTCAAGCATACTGTCAACAACTAACTACTAGGCAGAGTGAAATTCCAAATGAACGAATTAAAATTACATTGTTTATGCCCATAAAATACTCTTCAAACGAAGCAGTTTTCGTTTCAGAACCAAAGGTTCGAAAGATTCAGGGAGAGGCACAACCTCGTTCCCAAGCTCTTCCCTCTTGTTGAGAAAAGAATCTGGCTGGGTCTGCTCACGTGACCCATAGTCAATTGATTGCCTAAGGAGATATGGGAAAAAGTCTTCTATTCTATGCTTCCACTTTCACACTTTACACTTCAATATCAAGAAGTGAGAGTTTTGTACCGATCAACTTTGGGAATCACGTATATACTTCAAAATACTTGCCAAATTAGACTTGTGTGTTCTTTTAAATTACAACAATATGCTAAATAGATTTTTATAGCAACAAACAAGTCAGAAAATAAAGCAATAAGAACGTATCATTGTATCAGTTTGCCCTTTGAAATCGTTCTTATGTTCTTATGTTCTGGGCGCACTTATATTTCACACGTTTCTGCCCTGCGTCTGGTTTACCTATTTTAAATTTTTATGATATGTCGCTTAATTGTTGTTATTTGAAAACAGTATAAACTTTGCTATTGATCTTATTTAATTGAAAGTAATTGAAAGTTACATAGATTTATTTGTTAATTTTAATACAGGTTTCAAGAGCGACAGCATGTTTACATGCAACGTTCGGGCGGCAAACGTTACATATTTGGACAGTAATTAAATAGACATTGAATGTCCATTCTATTGATTTAACTTTATAGACTATTTATATGCTATTGATCTTATTTAATTGAAAGTATTCATCACTTATATTAAACACTATAGGTGGTGTAGGAAGGTTCAATACTTGGTACAAAATTTTTTAGAGAATCCATGCACACTATAAAATTATAAGACAATTACTGTACGCTTTTTTTGTTTGCACGAAGTAAAACATTACACAATATTCAGATCTTCAATATAATTTTATAGCGATTTACCCTCTCCTTTTATACATTGCCCAGTAAATTTAAAGGAATGATAGCACATAAGGTTTAGCGAATTATTTTTGTATTATCCCCGAGCCGACGGCGCGAAGCGCCGTGTGAGGGTACTAATTCCCCCCGGCTATTTACACCCGGGGAAACGAAAGCATTAGCGAAGTCTAAAGTTCATCAAACATCGCGGGCGTGGCTCACCAACGATGTTTCGGTCGGTGGTCATCCTCACTGATCTCAAAATATGTGTCTGACTGTAATGAATAGCGAACACTGATTGGTCCAATTTAAAGTTTGCATTATAACGACTGCATGACGACAGCGAAATAGCAAACATTTCTTGATTTGATGATTGATAAATTTCTTGCAAATATATTTCATTTTTGCTCGCATTTTTGCATGATTTTGTAAATTTCAAGAAAGAAAGGGCGAAAGAATCGGCTAAAAGAAGGCAGCCGACGTTCACGAAGGTAAGTTTGTTTTAAATATTGATTTTCATAGTATAATTGGCTTTAATTTAAACACGACGGCCTTTGCGTATATGAAACAACTAAACAAGACAGCATATAATTTCAGTGTATCTTTAATAATATTGATTCGTTTTTTTATGATATTGAATTTTTTAAATAAAAAAGAAAGCAAAGTTATTTGCAAGCGAGAATTTGAAATTATTTTATTGCAAACTCAAAGCTTATCGATAAAGCCATTTAATTAGAGGCAGTTTAGTTAAAGAGCACTTTAAAACGTTTTGTGAAGCGTGTGTGGTTGAATTTTACCTTAAATTGAGGCTTATATTACGTATAATAACAAACCTAACATATATACGTTGGGAAATTAATAATTTTGTTATTAAAAGTGATATTTTTTAGGCGATTTTTCATTTGTAAGAATATTCTTAAAAAATTATCGTGTTACCATGACAACTACTTTAGATACTTCATGTTCGGAAAATACAATGGTTTTGCCATATATATATATATATATATATTATATATATATATATA